AAGATGGCTGACGCATTCTACTGCATAGCTCCAGAAACATGGTGGTAACCCCGCTTCCAAGAGACAAGTTGCGGTTGTCATCATAATGAACTGATTGTTCCTCTCCGCCAGAGAATTGTTCTGAGGATGATTCGGTAGAGAGTGATCGAATGGGATCTTCAGCTGCTTCATAGCCGTCTCAAACTCTGGGGCTTTGTCGGCATAAGCAATCTTGATCTTCTTCAACCCTTTGAAGTGGTTTATTGCATTGACCACGTCCTTGGTAAACCTCTCTTTCGATGGATAGGCCCATATGACGCCTGTGTACCTGTCACGAATGACGAAGATCTCTCGATCAGTACTGATCCCTTGATCAAGGATGTTCCTCGTATCGACAAAATCAAAGGTAACCAGATCTCCAAAAGCTTTGAGCTTTCTCTTGAACGCTCCTCGATGCGTCTTGAAGTGTTTCATCTTTGCTCTGATGCATGACTCACAGTAGGGATTCTTGTAACGATGTGTGAGTAGATGCTCGATTTTCCTGGCATCTGCTTTCAGAGTTCCTCTTCTCACCATTCTACTTGCACCGTCAACAACATCCACCTCGATGTCATCTGCATCATCATCGTCAGCTTCTGGTTCACTGTCTCCGGCGACATCTGATCCTACCTCATCTTCTTCTCCAGGAGATGCCTTGAACTTCTTATTCCTCTTTCGCCTTTTGACTTTTGGAGGTTCAATCACAGGAAGGTCGTCATCATCACACATGATTCCTTGAGGATCCACATCACAGTTGATGAAAGTCGATTGGTAATCAGCTTCATCTTCTCCTAGGGTGAACCTTGCGATCATCTCCGCCCTTGTATCGTCGGTGGGAGTACAGAAGTCACTGCCCTTGACAATATATGGGATGTTTCCCTCTACTTCTAACATGATTTTCTTGTAGTTCGGGGAAACCATGTACGGGTTGCCGCAGGCTGGCCATATGAACGTGTATCCTTCCTCCATGCATTTCTTTCCAACAGACAGTACTGAAGGAGACTCATCTAGGACGAATGGGGAGTAGGTAGAGTCAAATTCGTCGAAATGAATGTCGGCGACCCCTTTTGTGGATGTCACTCCATTTGCAGTATAGAATGACATTGATTGGTCGCTTTCTCTCACTTCCAGACCTAATTTCTTGGCTCTCCCTTTCGATATCAGATCATACCCACATCCTGTGTCCCTGATGAACTTCGTTCTTGATCCTTTGGCTGGAATAGACAATGTCTTTGTGTCTGCATGATCTTTCTTTCCCTCGCATACATGAGGAATGACTTTATGATGGAAAACTAGGCCGTCATCTTCGTCAAAAGACATAGTGACCGATAGGTCACCCTTTGGTCCAACTGGTATTCGGACCCTCTTGATCTCAGTGTAGGGGACCATCAGTATGCCTCTCGCCTCTGCGACCTTTTCTTCAAATCTGATTTGTTCTTTCCTCGTGTAGCAGGTGAGCTCTTTCTCATCGTATCGTTTGATGTCCGGACGTAGAGGTTTCTTTTCTACTACCTTCCATTTGTCCCTGATTGAGTAGATCGCTTCGTTCAACATGATCTCACAAGTCTCTTCATCAAAGGATACTTTTGCACCTCCTTCTCTTGCCTTGGCGGATGCAGCAATCCCTTCATCTTCGGATTCGTCCATGAAGAGTTCACCGTCAATGGCTGGGGCTCCAGGCTTCGCCTTAGGTTTCGGTTTGGGTTTTGCCTTGGGCTTTGGCCTATCGTCTCCTGAGTCAGCTGGTGCAGATATCCCTTTCTTAGGAGAGGCTTGTGGGTCATGGTAGAACTTGCAATCCTTCCCTTTGTCACAAGTTCCGCGAATCCACATCCAACATACTGGTTTGTCATTCTTTCCGACGGAAGATCCTCTGGATGGTGATCTGGGCTTCTTGTGACTGAATGGGCAATCTTTCCCCATAGTGCAGTTACCTTTCACGAAGAATTTGCACGGTATCTTCTTCTTGTCTGTACTCGGACTTCGGCTGCGATCCTTTCCATCACCTTTACCTTTCCCCTTTCCCTTTTTGTTCTTGTCTTCAGGATGCTTCTTGGGATTGGGTTTCGGCTTCACTGCAGCAGCGTCTTCTGAGACAACCTGTTCTTGTTGCCCTTTTGGTTTCTTCTTCGGATCAGCTGGTGCAGCTTTCAGTTTTGGAGCAGGTCCGCCTGGTTTGAGATTCTGAAAGATATTGACCACATTCTTCACTGCCTTTTCCTTTTCCATGATCATCCTGTCTTCAGTTTGCCGTTCGATGTGCCTTCTGATCATATCACGTAGATGTTTGTATGTCTTCTTGGCATCATCGTCGTTCATGCTGTTGTAGGCGCTGATGTCGTATGCCATGAGGTTTGAGTTCCTGATCTTTCTCCATAGGAGATCCCGAAGAGTTTCGTCGCTCGGGACGTCAACGGGTTTCATTCCTGCCAGAATCTCATCCCAAGTGTGGAAGAACAACGATAAGTTCTTGTCTCCTTGATATTCTAGTTCGTAGAGATGCATTGAAGTATATAAGACTTCCACATTTGATGTTGTCTTGAAATTCATAAGGATCAGGGCTAGGACCTCTCTTCCCTTTATGAGGCTTGATGTTCTCCCTTTTGCATTGATCCTCGTCCTCAACTTCATAGCTACACCTGAACCATCATCTTTCGCATCCATGACGACCTTGGTAAGAGCTAGGCCGAGTTTGGCATCGATTGAATGGAATCTTTGGTCTCCTGAGTCGACAAACTTGTCTGGATCAGGATCGTCCATGGCTTCTTTGATCCAGTCGATCCAGGGCTCTTGATCTGAATCATTGGCCGCAATGATGATTGATTGAATGAGATTTGCCTTCCATAGTCCAATATCATTGATCCTGGGCCATGACGGAACGTTTATCTTTGATTCTTCCTTCCTCGATACTTTCATGACAGTAGAGGTTGCCGGTGCAAGATGAGATGAAGAGGATGCCTCTGTTTCTGAAATCTTGTCCCTCAATGATTTGTTCGCCTCGGATAGCTCAATTGATTTCTCCCTTTCCTCGGCGTACTCATTGTGGGTTTCGGCATACCATTCATACATCTCATCTCGGCTCTCTGTCATTTCATTGTACCCGTCCTTGTAGTGCTTCGCCTCCTCTTTTACGTTCCGAACCTCATCTTCCTCGGACGCGTGGGTTGGTAACCCGCGGTCTCTGGAACTAGGACGCTTGCTGTACCGAGAGACTATGGGTGCCATTCGTGCTTCTGCTTTTAATTTTGCATTTTCCATAATGACATTCTTTGTCTCCTTCTGGCTTTCCAATAGTGCATCCTCCAGTTCTCTGATCTTCTGTTGAATTTCAGCACCATCATCGCCGAACATAGGAGCTCTCATCATATTCTCTCTTTTCAGCTGTGCGTTGGCTTCGGATAGAGCGAGGTTGACGTCTTTCAATTGTTGTCGTTCACGGATGGAACTTTCTAGGACTTCGTTGTTGAATATTTCTCCTTTTGCGATAACCTCCTTTGCGACGTTTGCTTCGTATTCATGGTGGCTCGCCTTCACTTCTGCCATTTCTTTAGCAGAGACTTCAGTCTGGCATATAAACATCTCCATCCTCATGCCCACTTCCATCTCTCCTATCTCCGCTTTCGCGTTGAGTTCAGCTCCACGTGCCATAGCTAGTTGACCTCGTAGATGATCAATGACCATAGCTTCCTGATTGCTCTGATCTTGAGATGAGTGAACACTGTGTTGAAGACGTCTTTCCCTGACCTCACTATTCCATTGTTCTTCTCTCTGGTGTTGGATCACCTCGTGCATGTTGACATTCTCATCCTGTAGCGCAATCATTCTAGCTTGTATCTGGTCAGCTATTCCGACGAAGGCTGTGTTCTCATCCTGAATGGCTTTTGATCTTCTATTGATCGCCAATGAAGATTCATTCTGTTCCTGGATGTGTCCAATCGCTGCTTGAAGCTCTTGGGACATTCTGTCCTTCGTTGCTTTCACAGATTCAAGCTCTGAATGTTCTTGATGAGTTTCTTGTGCAAGCTCTTGATATCTCATGTAGATATGTTCAGCTGTCGATTCCGCCAAGCGTAGTTTGTGTTCGAGCTCTTCAATTCTTATTGTCGCTCCTTCATCCTCCTGTGTCATCTCCTGTAGATGTTCCTGCATCTTCCTGTTGTAGTCAGACATTTGCCTGAACTCCACTTCAGCCTCGTGGTGTAGTCGTGAGTATCCGGCTTGGATGCATTCATATTTCTTGATGAAGAAAATTGTATGCGTTTCTCGCCGATCTCAATTCTTCACCCAGCTGAATCTCTCTTCTTTGCTCTTTTGTTCCTCTATCATCGTCACGTCTCTTCTCTATACTCCTTCTTGGGGATCTCGCGGTAGACGTTATAGGCGATGTAGATCTTGTTGTAGCTCTCATCGATCTTCTTGGTCCTACGGGTGCAAGATCGGTCAGATTCCGAGCCGGTGGCACGGATCTTTCCGAGATTTGTGATCCAGTAGGCATAGTGATAACGTCAGCATTTGCTGATGAATCAGTACCCATTGTAGAGTCTGGCGACGAAATGGTGTTGGGACCACCAGGAGCAGCGAATGAATAGGGTTCGCTTCCATTTCCTCCTGAGCTTGACATTGCAGGTTTCTGTAATGACTAGTCTTGTTCTTGGTCTCGTGTAGCTCGTACGGCTATAAAGAGCGCGTACGGCTGATAACCTGCGAGTGGATCTTAATCAGCGAAGTTTGAAGCTATCACTGACGGTCCATAAGCGGCGTAGCGTCGGAACGGAAACCGCACCTTTTCTAGTCGCTTGATCCTTGAGCCAAAGTACATATGGTATATATATATATATGTACATGTTGCACTGTACACGTCGCTGCACTTCCATTCGCATATTACATATATATATATTCTACTATATACTATATACACACACACTGCATATCAGCATGTGTGTGTGTGTGTCTCATGCTGCGTATCCAACAAAAGGTCTTGCCTCCTCCTCTAAGTTTCGGAGGCGCTGCTGAAGGCTTTGGTGGCCTGGCACACTTGGAACATATGAACAATGTACTGGATATATTTGGCAATGAAGCTTCCTCCCTCACACCCGTCACACCCCTCACACTTCAACAACAGAGAACCCAAAAATCTTGCATCCTGTTCCAAAGTGTTCCAGATGCGCATGTCCATGTCAACATGTGTTGATTGCTTCCAACCAAAGGCATGGGGCATCTCTGATAAGTCTCTATAATCTACAGTACTAGTATCGGCTTCAAGTGGGGTGTCAACTCCTTTTTGGTCCGACTTCGTCGTATGTTCATTCCTTGAGCAGAATTATGAGAGGGGGAACCATTCTAGGACCAGAAAACATGCAAAATTACAGCCTTGGGAAGTTCGCAGCGTGAGTATGCTTTGATGACCACTCTCTGTTCATAAACCACCTCTGCGTCCCAAGCACAACGAATCGCAATTCTGCATCGAACTTAACTTAGTAAAGGCTGCTAAGCTGTCGGAAGCTATTAAGCTACTAGTATTTTCCAACAGCTTCCAAAAACAATATCTCAATCTCTTCTCCAAACAGCTTACCTTATGAGCCGCGCATCCTAACAGCTTAATTGCTTGGAGAAAACTCTACGCTCACACCGCGTTGTACTTGTAGCCTTTGACACAGACTATTGCAAAGGGTTTTGGACAAAATATTGGTCTGCCTCACTACGCACACTCACCTCCAGTCACCCAGCAAAGACCCAGTCACCCAGCTTCAGCACATGGCACCTTCACTTTGTCCAGGCACTACCTGCCAATAGCATACGTGCTCATGTCCTGGCTAGTTTTGATGCCTTTGACCCTCCCCAGGTTGAATCAACCTGGTATCTAATATCCTTCACTGAACCCACCACGTTGCTCTTTTGCAATGAACAACATCAGTGTACCACAATTTTGTTGATGTGTATCTATCAATACTTGGAACGACTCGGGCACATTGAAGTTTATGCCGATGGCATTGGTGCTCTCGAGAATCACAAAAGGCGTGGTTCAAGAATCTTGGACTGGGCCCCTTTGCTGTCACATTTGATGGTAAAACTCACATAAATGTGGGATCCATAAAAATCACTGGTATGGTGACCATGAATCTTTTTGGATCTTTTTGGCATGAGAATGCCAGAAGTGTATGGGACGCTGCGGGACCGATGTGCCTCCTTCTCAAGTCGCTCCAGTCGCGCCTCCAAGCCTCCAGTCGAGCATGAATCAGTTCCAGGTGAGGCAGTTCAAAACACTGGATGCCGGTGTTCAACACTTGTGCCATGCATTCTACATAATAACATTTTAACCAAAAGTAGACCCATCCAACAATTTGCCACTCCTGAGAGCTTTGGTGGCAACTACTTTTTGAGTCACAAAAGCCCAGTAGTGCAGGCGCAGACTGTGCCCAGCATTTGGGGTACAGGTTGCTACATGCAGCTTGTGACCGTAAATAAATGCAAGTTCACTGAGTTCACTGCACTGTCATCCAGAAGCTTGGCTCAGAAGTTGAAACCATTTCGTGGTGACCATTGGATGCAGAAAAGAATATACAGCGAAACGTTCCAACGCGCATTCATTCCAAACCTTGCATCCTGAATGGCGCTGCAGGAACACCCATGAAACTCCCCTCCCTGACCAAGTATACCTCAAATTATATAATGTATTAATATGCGACAGTGCAACACTCTGGGGTCAAATTGGGAAACACAAGAGATCTTCCACACTGCTGCAGGCTTCACCGGAGTAGCTGATGTGAAGCAGCACCAAGGCATGCTGCTGAGTTGCATTAGAGTGGTTGGGACATGGATTGTCCCACCAGCCGCGACACAACTGGTCCAGCTGGAGAGCAGGGAAACCCATTTCTTCAAACACAAATCGTGTTTCCAAGCGAACGCTTCAAATCAACCGAGAGGCTGGGAACAACCCCACTTGGCAGTTGTTCTTACAATACATGAGCAATATAGTATCAAGCCGTTTCCAATTAGCTCTTTCTTGTTTCCTTCACTTCTCCGAGTGTTCTTTTGCTGTCAAGTACAGTCCACACCAGCTTCAAGCACTCGCAGGTTCATTTTACTTCAACTTTCTTGGATTTGAGTTTCAAGTGCTTCACGAGTTCTAACTGATTATCCTCCTTCATATCAAGCCTGTTTATTCAACACACGTCTCACTGTCGAATGTAATTACAATTTCAAGTTCAAGCAACTGGACCTTGAATGAAACTCGAAGGGTTTCATAAGTGAACCCTGAATATTTAGACTCAGGCATTCTACAGTAATTAAGAATTGAATCATGACTCTTGACCCAGGTTCCATTCTGCCCCAAGTGCATCTTCTAGATTCTCAACCTACACATTTGGGACAAGCATCAACTTCAAAGTCCCTACGGCCTCCTCACGGTTCACATTCTGTGTATATATATATATGCAATTCTTTTATAGCATGTGGGAGAAATCCAAAGAACATCCGCCCCTTCCCCCTAAAGACGGAACGGCCTAGGGCCTGTGAGGGGATGTTGGTGTCAATCTCCCTTTGTTGAGCATAGTTATACTAGTAACAAGAAGCTACTAGGGGCTCCTGGCATCGCAACTAGGAGCAAGAACGCTACTAGGGGCTCCTGGCCTTACTACTAGGAACAAGGACGCTACAATAAGCTAGTTATACCCGTCGCGATCAATGATGAGTCTCTCGGTGCGCAGGTGGCATGTGCGTCGCAGAAGCACGAGAAGCACGATTCCCAACCGCTCGCGAGAGCAGGGCGGATCTCTAGCAGATCCTTACCACCGGGGTAGGATTTACTTAGCGATTGGTTTTAGCAAGTGACTTACGATACTTACTGACAACAGCTTGAAGGAAGTGCAGATTCCGGATCTGGGTGTTTATTGGAGACCCCCTTAGTCCGAACTAAAGAATGCAACCTGAGGAAAGATTCGACTGATGGTCTGATGATGATGTGTGGGGTGCCGATCCTTGTTTTTCACACATCTTCACATCTTCAACTAGGGACACAAGCAGTGCAAAAAACTTCAATCGTTTCATGGATTGGTTGAGATGAGTTAGCTGCATTAACCAACGATTCATGGACCGGCGACCTCTGCAGCGTTCAAGCAATGGCAAATGACGAATGACTTTTCGTTTTCAATATGTATTCTTTCCAGACCCATTTTTACTGTAAACTTCTGTAAACCACATATATAGATCCTTTCACTTCTGTGCAAGAAATCACAATGGATACGCAAAATCTGGATTTCTGAGGCTAAATGGAAGACCATTTGCTTAATTAAGCAACCCGGTTTCACAAAGCTGGCATGTTGAAACTTTGTGCCACTGTGGCATCTGCCCTTTCAGCCATGCGTGATCCGCTAGCCGCTAGCACTCTGAATTTGGCCCCTCAGAACGCTGCAAGGAGTCTCAAGGAGTCGCCTCCATTGTCGGAAGGATTGCGACTCTGTCCAAACACTGCATAGTCCTGTCCAAAGCCCATCTACAACATTCTAAAGCAAAAATTACTTGACATGTCCTCCGGACAGCTCTCCACAGAAAAAACATGTGGGAGAGGGTCTTTTTTGGAACAGCCCATGGGTGGCTGCAGCTGCTGCCTTCATCTCTTCATTTTCAGCTCTTGGCTCGCTGTGATGAACTCAATGGCATCTTGAATGGCTGGATCCTCTCGGCATGGCTGGTGCCCCGGGCAAGTCATGTTTACTACATGCTGCACGCTCCAGAACTGGAGACAAAAAGAACCCGGTGATTTCACTTCTAAGTACGTACAGTACCATATAACAGTATATGTATGTATGTATGCATGCATGCATGCATGGATGGATGCATGGTTTGATGGATGGATGGATGGATGGCTGGCTGGTTGGCTGTGTCGGTCTGTCTGTTTGTCTGTCTGTCTGTCTGTCGGTCTGTCTGTCCGCCCGTCCGTCTGTCTCCATGTCTGCATGCATGTATGTACGTACACCTTTGACTAAGCAGCATATAGTTGAGCTCACCCCATGACTGAGTTCTCAAGCACGAACAATTTCCACGTTCCTCATGAAGCAAAGTAAAGGACTTCCTTCTTGGCCTGTCTGCATTCCTGCGATGCGGGTGGTCCACGCAGCAAAAGCTCAGAGTAATATGGGTCAAAACAGAATGTATGCGCCACCTTGACAAATCACATGACTGACCCTACCAGAGTGTTCTTAGAGCGGTCTGCCCCTTGCAATTGCTGGTGGGTTGGGGTGAAAAGAATGGGATGGAAGGGATCTTGAGAAAGCTGTCTGTGCGACTACATGAAGTTGATCATGATGTTGTTTCTGGATGACAGATTCACACCACATCCGCTTGGAGCAAAGCAGCTCTCACTCCACGGCCTCTGCTTTGCCTTCTGTAAAGTTCCTTGGACATCTGGTGCCAACAGCGAAGGGTAAACTTGCTGATCTTCTTCGCCTCGCGGAGCTCTGAGGGCCGGTGTCTAGTAGCCTGTTGAGCCCCTAGTAGCGTCCTTGCTCCTAGTAGCGATGACCGGAGCCCCTAGTAGCTTCTTGTTAGTGTTTTTGATTTTCACATGGAATGGCACATCTTCTGATTTTCACTTCGCACGAATGCTTGCTGCAAGAGTTTGGGTCATCGAGTCATCAATCAATCTATTGACCGCCAACCACCTGGCCAGACCTGGCCTTTGGCGTTGTCAGCCTAGTGTGCTTGGTGGGCACGGCTTGAAGACAGCTCAGTTCACGTATGCCAAAAATCAAAAAACAATAAGCAATAGCATTATATAGTTCAATGAGAAAGGTGGCCAAATCCACAGGCAGTGTTTTCCAAAGTCTGTCAAAACTCTACAGTAATTATATACTGTACACATAATTACACTCTTAAAAATATTAAAAAAAGAAAACTACAGTCTTCAAATGTCTACAGTACAGTGGAAGGCTGTGGCCATCTATATACAGCACATATTGTTATCTTGTTGGGGCCTGTCGCTTCTGCAGCTCCGCCATGGTGGCACGCACCTCCTCATGAGGACACAATCATTAAACGTTGTTGGAATAACTTGGGATTAACCTCGGCTTCTGGTTCCAACACATGAAAACACAAATCAATTTTGTTGTCATAGGCTCAGCCGTAGTTTCACCCCGTACTACTAGAACTTTCAAGATTTGCCTTATCTGAGGTTGAAGTCGTTGAACACAAGGAAGGCAATGCTAAGTTTGACAAATTCCCTCCCTTCCATGTCCCATTTCCGTATGCAACAAGCCGAAGAAGCACAAGGAGAGAAGACTTATCTACGCTTCATTCTCATGTAAATTTGACTGACTGTGTCGACCTCAAAGCGGATCGTTTGCAGTGCCTTCCAAAGGAATGGCCTATATAATAGATGCCCAACATCGACTACTAGTGAATCTCTCAGCTTCTTTGGTGGATGGTCAAATACTGGCCAAAGCTCATGGGCAGTAAATTCAAGGCCGCTTAAAGCACGGTTTTGCATCTCCTGGCTCAAGGGAGTGATATCCCAAGAGCGTGTGGGCGGTGTGTATTCGTCCTGGAAACCGTTTCTTTTTTCGAGCCAGTGACGCACGAGAAATCAATAACAACCTGGGGTGAAATTGGTCAAATGAAAAGGTCAACTCAACCGTGAAATGGTGCTCAAGTTGACTTTTCACTGCAAGCAAGCCCGTTTTGGGGAGCCAGGAACACGCTGTGTAGATCAAGCAAATCAGTGAATTGAGTGGAGCCTGTTCTGCAACCAGGGGATGCAAGGTCCAGATCCATGCGTCATGTAGCAATCTGCACAAGCTGAGACCAGGATTTATTGAAGATTAAGCGCACTGGATTTCTTCAACCCCGGGTCATTGTGGTACCTGAGATGAAAGCGACTAAGTCCTAGCAAATGCAATATTCAAACTAGTCACCTCTCTAACGCGTCAATACCAATACTCTCCACATAATTCAGCAGTTTGCTGTGAAATGCAGAAAGACTCCTCTTCTTCTTCGGGTTTTGCTTTGGCAGGAACTGTGGATGGCAGAAAATCCTGAATCGCGCGGGTAGAGACATTAGAGCCTTCAACATTCCAGTGCATGAGAACCTCTCAGCAATGGTGCCAAGAAACACAGTATTGACACATAGTGACATAGTAATGGCCTCCAACTCCAACCTAGTAGAAATGGCCTCCAATCTAGTAGCGATGGCCTCCAGCACATAATTGAATTCATTGCAATCAAGACCTGAAGGTCATAGTTTAAAGCTCCACTGAATCATCAATAAGCACTGAAGTCACCCAAAAAAGGCAACCCCATCAAGCATCTGGGAACAATGTCCCTAATATGTTCTACTGTGACTATGAGTGTGTTTAAGCCCCGCACATGTGTTTGGAACATCAACCACACATCCAAGCCTCATCCTCCGGAATGGAAGTCTCCATGTCTCTCTTTGGGATCGATAATGGTGAGGACGGGGCGAAGCGAGCGACGTGCTCTTGAGATCAAACATCGCCAGTCGGACACGCTTGGAATTCAACGTGCTCTTTGCAGTAAGAGCACAAAGGCAACAGCTTGGGTAGGGATCAACAGGTACCGAAGGAGTTCAACTGTTCCAAGGCAAAATACATTGAACACCGTCACATTGGACGGTTGAAGTTTTCTTGACCTTCACAGCCTTGACATAATTCTATAAGTGCATGCCTGCCTGCCTCCAAAAAATTAGGCTCCAAGGCCCCCGGCTGGCATTGCTCTCTTCAAGACGTTGAAACATCTCATTGCGAGCAACTGCTGCACCTGCAAACGAGAACCCAAAGCACTTCGAAGGCCGGGCATCTTCACCAGAATCTTTGCCAACCACGCAGGCCATGGTCATTCAACAACTTATTCACAATTTTCTAGACTCATCAAATGTCAACAATGTAAGAGCGCCTACTGGGGAACGGCTGGGAGACTCATCAGCATTCCTGGGACCTGGACAGTGGACGCTGCGCCGCTCAAATGACAAACGACTGCAGAAAAGACACGCATGGAAAATAGTTATCTTATATAGGCTATATATTCTTATACTTATATAGTCCAAAAAAAGACTTTGTGCTCCATCAGATTAGCACTGCAGCATTACAATGTGTGCCTCTCTGCTAAGTCTCTTGTCATACCTGATCGATCGATTATGGGCATTGATGCTGATCGAAACACAAAAGACCGAAACTTCAGGTGCTTCAGGAATTCGCCTTGGGAAGGACAAGTGTAAAGCTCCATATATATATATATATATAAAGGCTCTCCCCACACATTCCTCATCTTGTTCTGGAGACTGCCAACACTGCCTTCTGTGAGCTTCAGCGGCTGTGTGCTTGCGCGCATGTGGCCGGCATGTAGAGCCACACCTGCCTCAGCTGGGAGCGTCTTTTCGCTCGTTGGTTTCCCTGGCCGCTACCCGCAGCACATCGTCCTCTCTTGCCAAGGAGGGATGTGTCACTTGTCCTCATTGCCATCATGCTTGGTTTGCACTCCTTGGCATGTCTTACATGGACCTGTTCTTTCTGCAGAACATCATGGTGCTACTCAAGCCCTGTCATATCGTTATAAAATCCAGTCCTGGCACCCACACCTGCCGCTGCTGGCTGGATGTTCCCAACTGACGGACCTTCCAAGTAGACACCAAAACATATTCTGCCAGAAACATGGTACCACTGGGAATCCAGGAAAGTTCTGTAAAAAACCCATCTACATCTGGCTCCAACGGCCTAGGATCGATTGGCAAATGTTTAGGCCCAGTGTTTAGGCCCTTCGGAACCAAAACAGCACGTTCATATGTCCCCAGCCTTCTGCTGCAAGTCATGGAGCTCCGACAGCACCAGCTCCGCGAGCTCGTCCAGGTCGCGCCCCGACTCGGGTAGCGCCTTGAGTCGAGTTGGGGCTTCCACAACAATCCCGCCGAACTGACCTTGACCTTCATTGGTTTGGGTCTGTTTGGGTGCTTCCACTTTCAAATGGTCATTGGATCAAGAATGTATCCACGTTGGAAGTTAGTACAACTCAAAAAGGTGGTCTAGTGTTAAGTCTAGTGGCAATCCTGATGTCACATTCTTGCGGCAACTACAACCAAAGCCTCCGGCTTACGTAGCATTTCAAAGCAAACCAAATCAACTTCAATTTCATTCAATTTCATATGTCTTCATCGCATGGCGTATTTTCCGGCAACGAGTTCGATCTTCATTGGCTGCCAGGAATGGGTAAAAGAGAACTCCTGAAGGCACGCCACCGCGATATCACACAATTTAACGTATGCATGTTTCGATATATCAAATGTGCTCTGCCGAGCCCCTCCCCAATGGTTGCCATCTGGGCCAAGGTGCAACGCTCTCCAAACGCGACAAGCGATGTTCCAGAACAGAAAAGGGCTCCTTTGCCGGCCACGTGCCTTGAGTTGAGCCTCTTTGTGATGAAATCTCTGTGAGCGTGAGCTATCCTGCATCCAATAGGTAGTGCTTAAGTAACTAGAAGCTTACTCTCTTAATTGAGTAGGCGCTTAATTACTAATACAATTAAGCAGGAGCGGGCTTAAGAAAACGGCAATTTTGCACGAGTGGATAAAACGTTATAACAATCCACTCCTGGCCGCTATCCCTTGGATACTCACGACCCAAAGATCCTCGTAGGACTCTGAAAGGCGCCGAAGCCGCTCCAACTCCTTCTCAAAGAGCCGAACCCATTGCAGCTGCAACTCTGAGGCCTGAAACTGTCCAAATTGGGGTCGTGTGGGCCGTGTGGGTGATGCAAATTTGGGCAGGGTTCTGGCTATAGCCTCTTAGCCAAGTGTGTCTTAGGTTCATGTATATATATATATATGCGACTATATATTATGCGGGTCACGGGCATTGCTGTTCCAAAACATTTGATGAGCCACACATTTGGGATAGACTAGTCTGACGCACAAATCATCAAATGAGTCTTCGCGATTCACGAGATTCACAAGATAGAAACGCCCCGCGAGAATATGGAGAATCACTCATGGGCCTCTGTATTAAAGAGAATACACAACAATAAGGAATCGAGGAAACATTGTTTTACACAAAGAACAAATAACCAGACTTAGCATGACTTAGCCAGGCTTTTTCGAAACGAACATATCACCAGGTTCCTGGTCGAGTTTCATGAAACCACTAAACCCATGAAACGGTGCAATGGGAGGTTTGCCAAAAACAACCACGGACACATCGCGAAGTCCAGCAAGGGCCAAAGTAGATCCTGCCCTCACATGTCTTCTCCAACAAAAGCAGCAACACACAAAGGGCAAATCTGATACTGTATGTCTGAAACAGGACTCCAAGCAACACCACCTCCAAGACTTCAAAACAATCTCATCCTAACTGATCTGACCTGCGCATCAGAGCTTGGCTTCGAGGGATGTGGTCCTTGCAGCTGCAGGACCTGCCATCCAAGACTAGGATATCTCCAATCCATACATGACGAGATTGGGCTATATATATAATGACATCTAATGACTGAGGACTGAGATGAATTCCTAAGCGCAAAAGCATCCGTGCCTCGCGGCGGAGGGCGTCCAGCTCGGCCTCGAAGCGGCCAACCCGCTTGGCCAAGGCCTCCATGCCATGAGCCCAAATGAGCGTTGATTGGGTGTCTGGTGCTGTGGCAGAACTTCACTTTGGCAACCAATGCCAAATGGATCCACTTTCTATCCCAAAAGATTGCTATTGACAAATCTGGAAACTTGTAGCTAAGTACCATCAAGCCATGTTGTCATATGCAGCCACTTGAATCAATCATCTCACTCTGCTGTCTCGAGCCCGACTCGTAGCGCCTGAGGAGGTATTTATATAACGAGGAACAGGCGAACATAGGCGACCCTGTTTGAAGCACTTGCGAGAAGCTACACTTTGACAAACTTTCAACAGCTCACGGTTATGTCGCAACAGTGGCTTTTTTCCGTCCACTGCATGCGTTTTTCGTTGAGGACACTGGTGCTTTTTGCGGCTACCGGAGCAGAAGCAAAACTGGGTCCATCCTGCATCTGGATATATAGATAGGATCAAACATGATCAACCCGCCCTTTTTGCAGCAGCATCTTTTTTCAACACTGCAGCCGACAGGACCAGGCAGAGAAGATCTCAGCGCAGGGAAGGCTCTTATGGGGCATCACGGTTCACGGGGCTCAAGGCTCTTTTGAGATACTCATAGCAAGCTTCTCTGAATGGAATGTTAGTGACTTGAAAGGGTGAAGTGATGCTAAGAGAGGCAGCTTTTCTGCTCTTGGTCATGGTCTAGGAGTATATTTATCAGCCAAAATATATGCTTCAAAAAGCAATGCTTGGATGTGCTTTGAGTGAAATGTTTGGGACATGCAAATGCACAATCCAAAGCCCTTCAACAAGTAGAAACTCTCACGACCGACTTTTCTCTCTGTAGCAACTTATCATTGCTTTTTGCCAAATGGCCTCCAGGCAAATACATAGCACCACGGTGGACCCGACCGTAAAGGCACCACCCAGGAGTGTGAGCGCCAAAGCCTGACATCGTGGCTCGAACTGGAGTCAAATCCCCAACTCGAAACTTACACTACTGGTAAAATATGGTAAAATAAGTATACGCCCAACAAACGAAGTGGCTTCTGAATCTCGCTGCCGCACTCTTCCCAAACAACAGGCCTTTTCTGCCACCAGGATTCGCAACTTGGCCGTGAAAGGAAGCAAATGAAAGGCTGCGATGGTGCTCCGTTGCCTTTCCTCGACGAGATTTGCAGCTGATCATGAGCCCATCAGAAGGTCTGCAATGGTGTGCAAGGTCTATGGAGGTAAAGGCAAAGGAAGGACATGGGGCAAACATTGGCAACAAACATGCAATTCAAACAGTCCTTGGCATCCTTGCTGTGGCGAGCACCCGCGTCATCCACAACCTGGGAACTCAGCAAACTCTACCTTAAGGAGATTCTCTCTTGGAAACTTTTCTGCTTACACTATCATACACAATTGTAAACCCTTACAGATCTTACAGTCGAGCTTCTGAATGTCCAATGAAACAATTTTGGATGGTTTTCAGCACCAGCCTTCTGGACACGCTCCACTACGTCCTGCCCGCGCCAATGCTTACTGTACTTGACACCACCTCTTCCCGAGCAAGAACATAAACCGTATCCCATATCTACAAACACAAAATGAACAAGCGCGAATGAATGCAATGGCATGGGATAAGTCATAATAACTATGTTTTTGGTGCTTCAGAACATCTCAACTACAACCCAATCCGCGTGTCGCTGATTCCCCAACAAAGCACCCAAGAAACTGCGGCATGGCTGGAGAAGGATGATAAGGGATGATAAGGGCACTCAATTGTGAGAACCTGTTTGCTTTGTCGTGCATCTTCATGCTTCCCATCGTCTGGATGCCTATCCTCCAACAAAATACACTCAACAACATGTCAATGTCTTTAATTGTTTGGTAGACTCAGCTCCTCCGCCACCTTCCGCAGCTCGTTGAGCGCACGGCGCTCCTCGCCACTGCGATGCCTGCTCGCTCACGACGTGCCCCGACGCCGCTCGGATCAGGCCGGGGCTAGCTCGCTCATTCTGGTTTGTTCAACACTCCTGGTGCCTGGTGCACTCCTGGTGCTTCTGTTTTTGGTGCGTGGAGAGTAGCGCCAAGCTTCCTGTCGACTCTGGCAGATGGTTTGTGGCATTCGGCCTCCTGGCATCGTTGATACTCATTCGCATCTCTGCCAGGGCATTGTCGATCTCCTTGCTGGCCTCTCGTGACTCGTGAGAGCTTCACCAGAGCAAGGACCATCAATGACTATCATGGGTCAGCAAAAGAACCACAAAGACTGTTGAAGTCAGATAACTACCACCAAAAGACCCAACGAAGAAGACAGCAAGTTTAGAAGCTTGGCTTGACTAACAAGAGTTCAGATTTCCGCTTCGCTAACCACCTGCGCAGGCTTTCAGTGCTTTGCAGGTGCCCTTTTTGCCACACCCTCCTTTTTGCAGTGTCAAGAGTGTCAAGAGTGTCAAGCGCTCAGTAGTAAGGGGAAGCCTCCTTTCGATTCTTCAACCAGTGGGGCATCACGTCTTGGAAATCGACCAGGCTCCGGTAGATGCTGTCCACGGTGCGCCGGATCTTCCGGGTGAGCTCGTGGGTAATGACCACGGCAAAGCCCAAGATGATGAGGATCACGTAGGCATACAGCAACAGCTGCGCCAGTAGAGGCTGCAGGATGCCGCTGTTCCACAAGATCTTGCCACCTAGGAATGTTAACAGCATGGCTCCAAGAGTGAACAAGATCACTGTCTTGGAACAATACCTGCAACAGCCGCAGCAAGACAACCAGCTCAAGCATCCACGACTTTTCTCCGCTGGCTGCACCTTCCGCTTGATGTTCTCCCGCCCACGCCGGGCGTCGGCGTTGAGCCCCATCAAACCCAGATGGCTCTCGTCACCACTGCTGATATCGTCATCATCCTCCCACACCCCACCACAAGCTACTGCACAGCCTGCAGCTGCAAGGATGAAGACAAACAAAATGAAGAGTAGGTTGCTGCCACGCCCTCCGCCTGTGTGCAAGGGCGTGTAGGGGTTTGGGGTGAAAGGGTTGAAGAACGGGTTGCTGAATGGATTGAAGGGATTGACTCCTTGTGGATTTGTCCAGGGCGAACTTTGATTCACGATCCTTGGGGAACTGCTGTTGGTGTGAGACTCATTGGCTTCCTCGTTGATCACCTCGAAGCGTGAGATCAAATGTCTGGCCGATCGCTCCGCATGGCTCTTCAGGTGCGTGGATGCCAAGAGCCGGGCGGGTTCTCCTCCGCCGACCGCGCGGGCCGCCTTGGCCTCTTCTCTCACTGCCAGTGCAGCTGCTGCCATTGCAGCCTCCTCAAGCAGTTCTCCCTTCAGCTTGTGACTTGAATGAGTTCTGGTGACCTCATCGAACTCCAAGGTTGGGAGTCCAAAGGAGTCCAAAGAGGCTCGAGCTTTCGCACTATGCAATCTCCGCTCATCCAGGTGAGACGGATGGTACTCTTTCCCTGCTTGCAGAAGCTGCAAATTGGTGGAGGTGGACAGAACGGTGTCCAGGGACAAAGCTTGGCCCCACTCCAATGCGAATCCACCAAAGGTCAAGCAGTTCAAGCAGCCCAAGAGTAGACAGCTCTTTCGTCGCATGACCCCAGTGGCTCAGCTCATGATCCTTTCGAGCGCCCAACCTTGAATGGTTACAAAGGCAGGCAGATCGGTTCGCTACCGCAAGTTTGAGCAATCGAAGCTGAGGCCAACAAGCATCCAATAGGCACAAGAGCGAACAGCAAACGAAACATGCTGTGCCAAGCATGACGGCCTTGCCCAAACACAATTGTTCCCCTGCCTTTGCCTGTCGCTCTTTCATCTGAGTTGTTGGCCATCTGGCCTACTGAAGAATCGATGGAGTCTCGAATTTGACCGCCCGACTAAGATCCACATCTGGCCACTAGGTACCATCCATGTCCGCTCCTCTGAAGGGAGACAGGTGCCGAAAAATGCCATCGTGTGACTCATAGTGCTCAGAAAAAGACTCTCTTCGACCTTGCTCAATTCTTCACGGTTTCCTCTCTCTACTATATATACAGAAACTAGCCTGCAAAGGGTTCAGCGCTGCTTCCAATGCTTTCTCCTCCTTGCTGGCCTCGTTAGCTGCCTTGGACATCGTCAACCAAGTTAAAGTAATGTAGCAAAGGCGATGTGGGCAATCAAACAAGAATGACGGGTGCGGATGACGCATCATCAAAAAGAGGCAAAACAACCAAGCGACAAGCGAAGAAGAAACTTTCAAAGGTGAGTGCAAGCTGAAAAGCTCTGGTGCGCTGTCTTAGAAGCAGTACCACCACTGACGAAATGGGTCAAGCAATGAGTTCAACATCACCGGAGACCTAGGCTTAGGAGCATCAACAAAAAGTTGCCACCGTAAGAATGCTCCTAGTAGCGATGCCAGGAGCCCCTAGTAGCGTCCGTGCTCCTAGTAGTAAGGCCAGGAGCCCCTAGCAGCGTCCTTGCTCCTAGTAGTATGTCCAGGAGCCCCTAGTAGCGTCCTTGCTCCTAGTAGTATGTCCAGGAGCCCCTAGTAGCGTCCTTGCTCCTAGTAGTATGTCCAGGAGCCCCTAGTAGCGTCCTTGCTCCTAGTAGTGAGGCCAAAAGCCCCTAGGCGCAAGGTAGCGTCCTTGCTCCTAGTAAGTAGTAAGGCCAAGAGCCCCTAGTAGCGTCCTTGCTCCCAGGAGTAAGGCCAGGAGCCCCTAGTAGCGTCCTTGCTCCCAGGAGTAAGGCCAGGAGCCCCTAGTAGTAAGGCCAGGAGCCCCTAGTAGTGTCCTTGCTCCTAGTAGTGAGGCCAGGAGCCCCTGGTAGCGTCCTTGCTCCTAGTAGTAAGGCCAGAAGCCCCTAGTGGCGTCCTTGCTCCTAGTAGTAAGGCCAGGAGCCCCTAGTAGCGTCCT